TCCTTGTTGCGGAAACTGTAGATGATGGGGTTGCACATGGGGGTGATGATGGTGTAGAAGAGGGAGAAAGGCTTGTCCTTGTCAGGCCCATGTGTGCTGCGGGGGTTCATGTAAGACAACATGGCCGAGGTATAGAAGAAGACAACCACAGTCAGGTGGGAGGCGCAAGTGGAGAGGGCCATCCCTCGACCCGAGGAAGAGGCTCTGCTGAGGATGGAGGCCAGGATGCAGGCATAGGAGATGACAATGAGCACCATGGGGCTGAGCAGCGCCACAATGGCGTCGGCAAAGATAACCTTCATGCTGAACTGAGTGTCCCCACAGGAGAGGGTGATCACTATGGGAGCCTTGCAGAAGAAGTTTTCTATATGGTTGTCTCTGCAGAAGGGATTCCGGAAGGACATATATTCAAGAAAGATGCCATTGATCAGTCCGAAAAACTAGGCAGTACCCACCAGCTTCACACAGACCTGCTGGCTCATGATCTGGGCATAGCTAAGCGGATGGCAGATAGCAACGTAACGGTCATAGGCCATAAAAGCCAAGAGGATGCACTCAGCCACACCCACACAGAAGACTAGGTACATCTGGGTCATGCAAGAGGTGAAGGAGACAGGGTGGTTTTTGACCATCAGGTGGATCAGCATCTGTGGGATGGTGGTGGTGATGAAACAGACATCCAGGAAGGACGGGTGACAAAGGAAGAAGTACATGGGGCTGTTGAGCCTGGGGTTTGTCCAAGTGATGAAGATGATGAGGCTGTTCATGGCCATGGCCAGGCAGTAGAGGACTAGGAAGAGAGCAAACAGCAATGCCCAAGTGGAAGGGGAGTTCTGTTCAAAGCCCATAAGGATAAAGTCTGACACTGTGCTGCCATTCCTGAGGTCCATTGTCTGGGACCTGTGAAGAGGGAGGGAAGGAAAAGCACAGTAGGGTAATGTAAGGTACTTACTTGGGTCCAGAAACCCAACTATTAAAGAGTAAGATGGATGAGTGGTGGTAAAAGTTTTGGAGCCTTTGTAAACCAGAGGTAAGTTAGCAGTGTTATGGGGTAGTGAAAATTCCGTGGTCACTATAGACTGTGTACATAGAACTATAATACCAAAAACTGGGGAATGGTTTTACTTGACAGGTGATTCTACTTGACTCTGGTTTGATCAGGCCTCAATGAAGTGCTACATCTGCTCCAGAGACTTCAGTATTGAAGGATTAGCCACTAACTGTAATGCATTCAGTGGTGAGACAATAAGATACTGTAGTTGTGTGTCTTGGACCCATGCCAAATAAGGAAAGGTTTAAGGTACTGAGGATTGGAGTGTTTGAGGGGTGGGAATAGTGGCTATGAACTTATAGAAGGAAGCATGAGAGATACTTGAAAGTGCATTTTTCTGGAAGAAAAAAATGCTCAGTCTTTGTGTACCTAATGTAAAATGATGAATGGGTTGCAGTTTCAAGGAAAATAAAAACATTCTCTCAGGATTGTTCCTAAAGTGGCAATGATTTGTAAATCTCTGGAGACAGTTATGTCTCCAGCTCTTGGCAGTCTCATTCTCCCGGCTGTTGCTGCTTGCTACATCAACCGCCCGTGCTGTGCCTGCTGGTGGTGGAGCCTGGTTGTGAGCTCTTACAGGCTTTCCTAACAGGAGACAGCTTTCCTAATGGTGTTGGAATTTAGAGCTACATATACCATTGAGTAGAAAGGATCCAACCAGCCCTATGAGAAAAAGGAAGCTATGAGAAGAACAAAAATCCAACCTTTCTGGAATGGACCTTCAGAGAACTTTAATCTGTCCCTTTGCCTCCAGGAATAAATCTTATTATTTTTTTATTTTCAGAAAATGAGCATTCAGAATGGTCCTCATGCTCTTATCTCACTATAACTTTTAGGAAGTCCTTCATATGTTCATGTTAAATCTCTATTTTACTTTCGTCTTACACTGGAGGTAGGATGTATCAGATCCCTTCCACCTTCAGAGATTTATAGATGGTTAGTACATTCCTTCGTAACTTTCAGTTTTACTGAGACATCTCCTCTTCATTTTCTCTTCTTCTACTCTCTTCTATACACACGCTCACTCTGTCTCATCTGTTAGTCTCTTTTTCTGTTCTTTTCTTCTCCCCCCCTCTCTTCTTTGGTGATGGGCTCCTGCCATTCATCTGCCTCTGGTTGTACACCCCTATCTTCCACATGTCTCTATACTCTCCATCTTCCTCTTAGGAATATTTACCCTATTACTGCCATTCCTTGTAGCTCTGGATTCCCTGTAGGGTGTGATTTCCTGATAAGGTGAAGGCAGTGTCTGGGCAGTAGGCATTCTATCATCTCCTCTTTGGGGTGCTCTGCCTAGAACTTGTACCTAAGACTCCTCTTCCTGGAGGCCCATAAAGGGCAGGGACGGTCAGAGAGCACTGCTTAATGTAAGATGTGGCTTGGTAGCCTGGGCCTAGTGGACATGTTGGAGCTGAGGTCAGAGTCTTCATAAAATACCAGTGAGCCAGACTCCACAAAGAACTCTGGGACTTGCCCAAGAAGAAACTGATGTCTGACCCAAGGAATCACTAGGACCTACAGGAGTATAAGTGCTTGCCTATGGTTCATTGTGCCAGAGATTCTGTGATGTCATTGTTGTTGTTAGGTGTGGTCGAGTCAATTCCGACACATTGTGACCCTATGTACAACAGAATGAAACACTGCCTGGTCCTGTGCCACCCTCATAATTGTTTCTATGCTTGAGCACATTGTTGCAGCCGCTGTGTCAACCCATCTCATTGAGGGTCTTCCTCTCTTTTGCTGACCCTCTACTTTACTAAGCATGATGTCCTTCTCCAGGGACTGCTCTCTCCTGATAACATGTCCAGAGTACGTGAGAGGAAGTCTCACCATCTTCGCTTCTAAGGAGCATTCTGGCTGTACTTCTTCCAAGGCAGATACCTAGCACCTATTACCTTGCTAGCTACCATTAGGGGCCAACCATAAAGCATTTCTCTAAATAAATGGGGCTATCTCATGGAAATCACATCCTACCTCGTTCTGGTGCTCTGGCTGATAATGACGGGTGTCACTGAATCACTGTGGCAAGTAACAGAGAAGATCTCATGGTGTTTGAGGAGGAGCTGGTCCAGGGAGGCTGGTCTGACCTGGTGGGCCACTCTGGAAGATAAATCGTGTCTGATTATCTTGTTAGTTCTTTGACATCTATACCATTACAGATGAATCTCTACTTAGTTACACATGTACAACAATATATAGTATAGGTGTGAAAACTTACATACCCCATATTATTTCTTTCATGTTAATAATCTTATTCTGCCCCCCCCCTTTTTTTTAATATTGTAGGTTTTGAGTTTCTTAGGCTTTGGTTGTTGGTTTGCTTCAGTATTAACTGAATTCTAGCAGCTTGCCTTGAAAATTAGAAACTACTTTTCCTGTTGGTCCTCAGGTTTTAGAGGTCACCCTCCACCACTTGGTCTCGAGTTGGCTTTGGATTGATTAATTCCTTAGGAAGCAGGGTTCCTTTGAACTCTTTGAGGCCCTGAAGGGTCTACTCCAGTGAGAGACTGCAACTACTAAAGGAACCCCAACCCAACCTGGGTATTGAGGACCCCTCTGGCGGAGACTGAGCAGATAGAAAATTGAGAAAGAAAAAGGAACTCAACTTTAGG